GTTAGTCAGTCAGTCAGTCAGTCAGTCAGTCAATCATTCATTCATTCATTCAGTCAATTAGTCAACCAGTAAAACATACGTAGACGCCCTCCTGGATACGTCCCAACCCGAAAGCTCTTCTCGCGTGAGTTCCCTCGTTTAGGTAGTATTTCCTCCCCAACTTGCTTTAGTGTTTGCTTTTCCTACTGTAAATCTAGACACACCGAAGGTTCTCAGTTTATCATTTATTGATCATTAAAACACGCATATTGATCAATCAGTCAACGTGGTAAACATAATCAATGATCTTTACAAATGTGCGCAAATATAACCATAATGTTTTTCTGGATGAACAGAAAAAGATTGGTTTCAAGTTTGTGCATACTCAAACGGACGGACGTGAAAACACACACTCGCCCACACATTCAACCACGCACAAACAAACTGATACACGGTATCGCACAGACAAACTTGTGCAGCCCGTATGAATAATTCAGTGCTGCGACTGACAGTCAAGCAGAATGGTAAATCAGACAATGGGTTGGAGCTGGATGGAGAATAGTGGTAAGTGGGTGAGAAAGAAGCAGTGAAACGAGCGTAAGAGAGTGGAATGAAGTGAAAAAGAAATCTGTCCACTGCTGAACTCAAACCACATTGTGCATTACAGAAGACTATGATAACACAAAGGGATGTGGTTTACTCTGTAACGAGTTCTACAAAGTGGTTGGCTATTTGACGAACTACGATATTCAAAGCTCATTCATTATAAGCATCGTGTAGAAATCGTCTAACATTTTTGCGTAGCATGTGAGGGTGAAATCAAACGGTCGACAAATTAGAAGTGGAACGTATTCACAGAAAGTGTTGACCTAAAATACTTAGAATACAATGGGCACTATTGTTAATGTTATAGTGTTAATAACACAGCGATATCGGTAGAGAATTATATTCACCGACGTTTCAGTTACCCTGGGTAGCCTTTATCAAGGCAGGTTTTACAATCCATCGATTTTTCGATACACTCCTCACATCATTTGTTCACGACGTGTTAAAAATGATCACCAATCGGATTACTCTGGGAAAAAAGCTTGCTAACTAAAATGGGCACTGCTCAGAATAATGGTAAACAGAATCCTTTTTGTTAACCAGAGTTTTACCGAAACCTACTTGCTTCGAAAATGGTTGTTACATTATCTCGAAAGCTATGCTGTATCAATGATGAATTGGTTTGCGTCAGGTTAACCTTGTAAAGCAGTGAATAAACCTTAAGCCAGAGGGTTTTTTATGATACCATACACGAAAATTTATCCGTAGTGAATGCGTGACTTTCTGGGAGAGATTTAAAGAGTTGATTCCCAACATGGCTTTAGAGTTCACTTGAAATAAGCTATTCGTACCATGCTGCAAACAATAATTTGAAAACGGAATCAGATTTTGACTTTGGAAACAACTGGGACCCCTCGATACAGGTCAAACTTATGTATATAGGAAGCACATTTTGTTAATGTGACTAATGCGACCAGTGGAACGTAGACGTGATGCAGGGGAGTGGGAGCACTGTGCACAGTGATGGTTAATATTTGCCACTTAACGCATGAGCCCAACTTTTCCATTTAGGCAGTTTAAGAAAGCCAGACATAACAAACAATGAACTCAATAAATTATCGATTCCAGAAATATGACCTTCCTAGAACCCAAGGCCTCCACGTAACGACCAAAATCCCTAAGAATATATGTGCATCATTCCAATGCAAAAGTTGTACGTATCAGGTGTGAAAATCGCCGACTTCCGTATATTTTCGGTCAATAAGGATTTCAAAATGCAAGCGGTATGACTGTGAAGTCCGCAGTGAACACTAAGATACATACTCAATCTACGGCTGTTTCAGGTTTACTGCTTCTATATGAGTTCCATTCATGGGGAATCATAGCGTTAGTAAAAAGCTGCGCTGGGAATCTATCCATCACCTGAACGGAGTCACAAAAGCACAAATGTTTCGCGTACGTGCGTGCGTCCGCGCATGCGCGCAAACACACATTCCGTTTACGAGATCGGGAGCAGTGAGGTGAACGGCGGCCACCCCTGATTGGTGGTGTGAGATACTGAATCTGTGATAGTTCGTCTAGCCTTAAAATTTCGAGGACAAATCAACCGGTCATCGGAGCGAAAACTATAGTTCATGCGATTGACTGGCAATCGAACAGACGCGGACACCAAACATGTACACCAAACATCGTGTACCAACCAGGTTGACTGAGTGATTGTGATTGTGTCAAAGTCCCCGAAGACCAATTCATTAGTTCGTTGCAAGGAACAAAACAAAGTCGATAAATAGATCATTATTGTTGTAAAATTTACGAACAAACGTGAATGACCCTGAAATCTAAGACAGTCCAACCACAGATGAACGGATACATACGCAAAGTCTATGCGGAATTTGAAGAAGATTACTGAAATAGGTTTTTGGTAGAGATAAAGTAAGTAGTGATAACCAAACTGGTAATAAATATTGGTCACGTTGAAGGAAGAACGTATAGGATTAAAAGAAACTTTTCCAGTACTAGTGATAGTGAAGCACCAAGAGAAGAAACCATATAACACAGCGTGATTGTACTAAAAAATGGTTGGACTTTGAATTAATTGACAGAACCTCTGGAAGATACTGAATTTAAATAGTTCTTTTATATCACAGTCACATCTGATTATGTGAACTAATTTTATCCGGAGAAGAATTGATCAAAACAATCTGTAAGTAGTGTCAATATAGGGTACTGTATTGTGGAAACAATAATTATCAATAGTTGTCGGCTGCCCCAACAGATCCACCTGAAACCATCAAAATCAACACATATATTTTAATTTCGTGCCGAGGAGCTTTTCACATTCAGCACAAAAATTTACCTGTGACTTTTTTAATAAAGAGAAGGTAGACATGTTTTCGATTCTATGCTTACTTAAACAAGATAACGGAAATTGAACGTAAACCAGACTACCCTCACCAGAAATCATGAATAGCATAAACCTTTCGAAGATCATAACGGATAGCAAACAAGTTGAAGAGCGTCCTGAAGTTTTGACCCTCTATTTTCAGGGTTCCAATCTTGATTTTTACGTAAAATATGTTTCTGACGCTCTTTACCAAGGTGAGTAGAGTTGCACAATACATCCAAAGCTTCCACCTGACAATGCATGTTCTCCTGAACGGACAGTAACTAATAGAAAATTATTCAGGTTTTCTATTTCACCTAGGAATGTCACTTTTTTCCGTCACACTTGTTAATGAATATTAGTTTCTTTACTTCTGATTTGATGTCCCTTGTGCAATGCAAAAGAAAAACATCAACACCAATGTCTTATATTGCAATTTATTTGGAATCAACTGACCTGATTGCAGTATGGCGAAAAAATATAATTTCTTTATTTCCACCAGTCTTTTCCACTGCTCACTTTGATCTTTGGGAGATCCTGTTTTGTTCTGGATCATTCGTTAATGCATGCAATATCATTATTGTTATTTGCTAGGTAATTAAGAGTAATGACTTATTCAAACGTGCTAGTATTTTAAACAATATGCAGCTAGGTAGTCAAATTGATCAGATGTAAAATGAAGCCCAGATTAAAATAATGCAAGTGCAAAATAATGCCGCCACCGTCAAACTGAATGCTGTCCAAGCAACTGCGTCAGTTCACCATTTTGAGGCTCAAAGGCTGGGTATCAATGAGAGTAGGATATTCTAACGGAAACTGATATATAAACGCCGAGAGCAATCGTTTATCTGCTGCCTGAGACAACCCTATTTCCCCACCATATAGCAGTAATGACCAAACTGTTCCACTGGACTATCACAAAGCTCTACAGAGCAGTAAATATCGTAACACTGACAAATATACTTTAAATTATCAAAACAGAAAGCTATTACTCGTTATTTATCAAGATAACTCATCATCGGGAAATATCGATCTCCAAATAATGAATACTTTTACTTGTTATACATGGTTTCCGGATTTTAGAAGATTTGAGGCAATTTTAAACCAGAAAACAACAGGGTTTCCTACCCTAATGATTTAAGGAATTTCGAAAATCTTCTCAGTGTCTTACAATNTTACAATAAGGCAACCATCTTCTCCAAATCAGATAACTCATCTCATGGAAACAGTTCAGAGACCCTTGGTTGTCACAATAACAGGCCAATTATTTTAAAAACAATTTCAAGCTATACGAAAATGATGAATAGAAAAGTCTCCATTGACATTGGTACTTTGTGTTAATTCTGGATGGAACTGCGCCTTAGGTCCAAATCAGGCCCAATTCGCTCATTCAGGAATGACAAACGAAAGAACCGCTGTCAACTAAAGGAGCATTGAACTGAATAACGAGCCACGTTTTGAACGAAGATCTAGTTTGTGGTAACCATAGGGGAACGTGTCCTTCTTTCCAGCTTGAAGTACCTACTGGCACAAACATGCGCATACAAGTCCTTTATTATGACATATCTCGCAAGTCGCCGATGTCATGTTGAACGTATGTCGAAAAACTGAAATGCCCTTTGAATTCCTACTGCCTTTTAAAGCGTTGAATTCTTTTGACGTTTTTGATCCTCCAATTATAGGGCAATTGTTTGAATGGTGACCTCAGAGTGGAAGAAAACAGATGGTCAAATCTGATCAAAACTGATGTCTGCTTTGTTTGAAGGATTCCGTCCAGTATTTTGATACTGCTCTTTAAATTGTTGAAAACCAAGTTCCATTCAATCAGTTACGATATTCCACTCGAGGCAACATGGGCAGAGGTGGTGGAATTATTGAACACGACCCCGATCCATCGTAATTTGACCTTCACCTCTTGTCTACCAAGTACGCGCCAGGTATACACATATACATTTTACCACCTCATATATTCTGTTTGTTGAAAGCAACCTCTCCAAAATAATGCATACAGCAAGCATTATAAATATATGTAGAACATTGTGTATAGTTTATGGGTCAACATTAGACAGAATCGGTAACTTACTCGCTGCTGTGTTTCTGTCACCGATCGTACAACCTCGCTCAAATTGGACAGCATTTGGGTAACATCATTTAAACGAGAATCCACATCGTTGAATCGTTGAAATTGACTATCAATTTCTTTGAATCGTTTTTCCAATTCCATTCCGATTCCCTAGAATGTTTATGAGGACATAAAACTTTGAGATTCACACACATTTGGAAGAGTTCAATCTTCATCATATAACCTTAAAGCCCAGTTTTGTTTGTTTTAAATCCATTTAATAAATCAATACATTTCAATCGAATCGGCAACCGAAGATTAAAGCAGTTTCATATACACGGGGAGAAAGGAGTTATACCATGGTTTTTGAATACCAACTGAGGATTACGGAATCCAATACGATGAACTCGGTCATAATGTCTTGTGATTTTTAGTGTTCCTTTCAAATCTCAGTTGAAAATTCCAAAGCGTATTTGTTTTTTGGCTTCATAAGGCGGTCGAAGTTTTAGTTCACATTAGACTAGGATTGTGTTTCTCCGATGGTATACTTTTTTGAAAGATTCAAACTATGTGGAGCATGTGGAAAAATGGATAAAAATATGAATGGTTTGTATGCATGTGAATACCCAATTCCCACAGCGCATGTAAACAACTCATTTGGATTATTCAAAGCAGTTCTCAATTCGCCAACGCGTCCCGCTTCACAAATCCTCTCACATGCAGTGTGACTGACCGCATTCCGGTAGTAAAATCCACGTTGTGATTAGAACTGCCGAAATGTTTTTCAGTCGATTATTGCATGAGGATTCCTCTGTTTCACAATTTATTCTGCTCTGACCTGATAACAAAATAGCTCACTGTTTTGACACACACGAATGGCTGTTTGACGGCTCGGTTTTGGGACTGCACTTTGTATTTAGGTCAAGGTTCTCTAATCAAGGAAAAACACGATTCCGTTTTCCTGTACACGTTGTGCATTCACTGGATTGGGAGACATGTGTTGTGCAAAAGGATGAAAAGTGTCTAACTTACAATTTTTTTCCCTGAAGCTCATGATGACAAATGCAAATGTTGTTTTGTCACGTTAAAATATCAATGACACTCTCCCACCGATTCTCATTTAGTGAACCGAAAAAAACGGAAAACAGACAAAAATGAGCGAGACGATGAAGCTGATCCAACGGACCGCAAACGCCGTACATTCGATATCTCAAATCAAAAACTGACCTCAGTCACACTGGACATTTCACTCTTCAAGTCCATAACTGGGCCTTGCCCGGGGCCAGCTCCTCCACCACGAAAGACAACCGCCCGCGATTCTGCCACACCTCGTTTCCCACTAGCCTTAGTGGAGGGCTCTCGCAAATAGTCCATTGCTTTCATATGTTCCCATTTGACCATCTCCCTTTCTTTTTTAATATCGGTAAAGCGAACACCTAAAAGTTATGACAGAAAAAAGAGTAAAAATAAAAGCAGGCACCAAAATTAACGGCTATGTATTCAGTTGTTGATTCCTCTAAATAAAATTGTGACCCTTTGTTTGAGTTTGTGGTTTTTATGCTAATGACATGTATTAATAATGATATGGATACCAGTCCTTGAGAACCGGAACATGAGAAAAAAGTCCTGCGCATATTTGTGAATCATTTGTTATTGTATGAGAAACAATAAGCAACGGAAAAGTACAAAAATAGCGAGTGTGAGAGTTGATTCAACTGAGTTGTCTACCGCGGATTTACCAAATTCGGTCTCGGTACACATCACGGATGCTTTATTGCAACATTTTCTGCATCAAAGTGGTGTTTTTAATGCCAAACTACACCTTTGATCTTGTATTAGTGTCACCCGAAAATTGTTAAATTGAAGACAGCAAAAACGTAATGCTCGACTAAGCGTTCCCACAGTCAAAATATTTCCGAATCACTTTTGAAACACGATTCTGAACATCACAAAAGGCATTTGTTTGAGTACACTCATCCGTTGGCCTTGACATGCGTTGTTCAGCATTTCAATTTAAATAATCCGCAGTATTGATGAAAAACTGGTTATGGAGTACCACTGATGGGAAGCAATGAATTGCGAATATAACATCAAGCAGTGCTCTGGGGAATCCCACTTCGTCTGGTGGTAACGTAGGCTGGACTAAACGCACCAACATTCAAGTCGACGATGTCGAGCATACTGAAATTTCAACACCTCCAATAGGGGTTCAAATCAAGTTAACTGAAGAGACATAACACTGCCAAGCAACACCGTTTTAATAGGCGGAGTTAAAATTCATGTTTTAAAGACTTTTAAATAAGAGTATAACACTGAATTTTCTTTATTGATTGTTTATGAGAAAATTAAAAATATGTCCAATCCTGATGTACCAATCACCACAAAATACTTCTATAGGTATGAACCATCAACCAAGAAGCAATAGAGGACAGAAAATGTATTTATAACCCAACGGAATTATAGTGTTTTGTTTCTCGTATTCCTGAACCGCTTAATTATAGGCACAGTTTAGGATTTTGTGTGGTATGGTAGTAAAATCAATCGAACTCAAATATATGATTGAATGAAGCGGTTCAAAAGCAGCTTCTTAAACTCTATTCAATTTGTCATCCCCCCATCCCACTGAAATATTTGTTCACGAATGTATTAAAAATAAACACCTAATGGAACGATGAGAAAAAGCACTATAATATTTTCTTATTGGCAGTTATTGTGTGCTCGAGGGAACTCACAAAATGGATTGTGCTTTATATTTTCGTGACTTCTTAGACTGGCGCATCGATTTCCGATTGCTCGATATGCCTCATAGAAGTGCCAAAAGATGATGATTGGTGGGACCAAGGGTGAGCGGTGTACATAATCGTTGATCATCTGGTAGCGTTGATAGTTCCAATAGTAAGTCGAAGCGCTCTCTATTTCTTCGTAGGTTTTTCTGATTCAAGACAAAAAAACGTGTACCTATTCAAGACTTGGTCATTTGAATCTGTGATACAGCTTCAAATAAAATCACACTAAAATGACCGAATGTTTTTCTTTTTTGATGGATTCTTGAATACCAATCAACAAGTTTGAGTAACAAATCAATGAAGGAAGTCATTAAACAGTAATTTTTAAAATAAACTCACATGGATAAAAGACAAACACTCTACCCAGAAATGATTCAAGCATTCTGGTTTCGTCTCACGTTTGTTGATGAACATGATTGTGCACCTCCATGTTAAATTCATTATTAAATCTAAAATTTTGGTAACAAATTACTCAATGAAGGTGAGAGAGATAAAAAAGAAAACGGGAAAGCCTAACGGTCATTGTGAGAACAACCAAATACCAGGAACATGCCACAGCACAGTGTGTACTAATTGAGTATGTAGCTTTATTCATGTGTGAATAACAGGTGAACAGGGATCAACATCATGATCAAGAAAACCGACTGTGCAGTTTTGGGAACCGCAAACCTGACACTTGGAGTAGCGAACTTCTTAAAGCATCAATCAAACGCTCTTGTTGAGATAGATAGAGAAGCACCTAAAACCACTAAAGTTGAGAACCAGGGCTCACACATCTGGATAACTGCAGGTACAACCTCCTAGCTACCATTATTTTCCGGTTGAACAATGTAGAAATTATATCAGCAATGCATTATATCTATTCTCTATTTTGTGCAATCCATCTCTGCATGCCTTGATTCGCAAAACTCTACACTAATTCCTAGTTCACTTCATTTTGGTGTTAATCTTCCCAATTTTAAGTTGTTTTTCAATATTAAAGATTATTTTCCGCAAATCGAGAGTTCGTTTACTGATTGAGCTCGGAAGACCCGTGGTTTAATTTATACAAACTTTCAAACCGCAATGTTCAGGCGATAAGTCCAGCCAAATTACCACTCCGGATGTTGTGCGTTCGAACTCTACCACCACCAGCACCCAGATTTTCCCATTTCTACTGACCACATGGCAGATCTTTGATTAAACGCTTCCTCCTCACAAAATTATTCGTACCTCATGTATTCATCAAAAAGGAGAAAAATAGCTATAAAACTAAACTGAATAACTGAAATTGATTTCCTGATTAGAATAAAAGAAATAAAGTATTCTATGATACGGTTTCTGTGATAGTCAAAATTTCTGTCAAGTTGAGAAGTAAAGAGGAGTATCTGGAATGCATACGAGGGGTGCATGACAGAAGGAACGTCAGTGATAATAGAGTTTTAGTCATATATAACGTTTCAGATAATATATTCTTGCATACAATTTACACAATAGATACTCGCTATATTCCTATGACGGTTTTGGCGTATATGTTAGCTATTCACAAACTAAATCTAGTTTTAATTTAGTGGTGGATAACTTTAAAAACAGTTTGCATGCATCCCAAAGTACGGCATGCATTATAGATTTTTGCTGCTGCATGTCAGGTTTTCCTTGAAATTTCATTGCAATCTGTCTAACGAGCTCAAAGTGGGTTTTATTTGGTAAAGTAAATAGAAGATGGTAGGAATCGTTAATTTATCACTCACCCTTCTCATTGGTCCGATGAATGACTACGTTGGACATTTAACGTATTATTGTTGGTGAAGCTGTTCTCCAAATTTCCAAACAAGATAATATCATTGAAGTATGCTGTATATTATTCTCGAGCGATTCTCCATGGATTCGTAATAGCTATCACAGTATTCCCTTGGTTAATTTAAAACTCCATTTTTTAGAAGAATTTTAAACTGGTAATCGAAGAAAGACAGCTAGACAGGAAAGCGGCAAACGATTCTAATGAAAGTTCAGTCGGGAACATACTTTTGAAGAGCGCAAATGCCCCCTGCTAATCGAGAATGATAGCTATTTTAGACACATTTGCGAACCGAACCGGGATTACGTCGAAGTAAGAAGGAAGTGAGGGCAAGAATGTCTATTCAGATAAACTGAGTAATGTTGTCAGCCCAGAGAACTTTCAACAACTGCTGAACCAAAATACGGGTTGAAGATCTACTATTACAGCTAGTACTATTACTAATAATACAGTAGCTGGTCAAAAGAAAGACAGCTTTTTATTCGACAAGAAGAAGCAGTATTAGTTTTGCAAACATATGATTCACTTTGATTTCATGTTACTCCACCACACAGGAAGTGAACCAGGACCATAGGTAGGTGATCACAATGGTGCAGATGCACCCGTTAGGTAATGCACATTCGAATCATACGGACTGAGGACAATTACAAATTTGGTAGAGCGTAAGAGTACGTTTAGTTTAACAACCAGAATAAAATGACCACATAACATGTACCAAAGAAAACCTTCAGTAATGAGGAATTTTCCGAGAAAATATCTTTGTTTTGCTTGAATTCACTGGTTTAAGCTGGAGACAGTTAGACTGGTGGATCTTGAAGTACTAAATTTGCTCAAAATTTCATCTAAAACGTGCGAAAAAGTATTGATTCTGGCACTCACGAGAACATGGCAATCAGCAAGTTGAACATCAAGATATTGGTCAGCAACACGTAGAATCCAAGCATAATTGGGACAAGCCATCGGGCGGTTTTTGTTGGACACATTTGATTTTGGCACATTCGATCTGTGAAATTACCGATTTAAAGAAGACAAACGACAGTAATCAATAGCAGTCATTTCAGATGTTATTGATGATAACTTTGAATTTTTATTTCATTTAACTTTTGGTTGATTGAACGTAGACAAGATACATACTTAGATTTGGGGTATGTGATTTCCTGGCTCGAAGACCTGCTTAGATATATTACTTGCGTAGCACGAGGAAAGGCAGAATGATTACACGGAATGAACTCAATTTCCTTCGATGCCAGATTTCGTTGTTAGTATGCTCATGGATCGTTCTTTCTGTTCGTTCTATGAGTCTCAATATGGTACGATAACAATTGCAGAACAAACACATTGGAGACGGTGCGCTTGATAAATAAATTAATCTGTCCGATAGCATGTCACTTTATTCAACTTATTTCATGTTGTTGGCCCCAAGTCATGGTCTAATTTACCCACCAGATGAGTTTACAACATTTTACTTATAGCTGCAATGCTTTACTACATTATTTTCGTGTGTAATTACAAAGGCCACTATAGAGAGAAAGAAAGAGCGGTTGTGATGTTGCTGCTCGTGCCCATCCTCAGAGCTATAATTTTTGCCAAACTTGAATAATTAAAGAACACATTTGACGGTTTGAATTCGCTCGCCCAACTTAAGAACGATAAATTTATCATTGAAGATTTATCGATAGACAATAAAATTACTGAAGTATTCTACAACACTCTTGCAAATATACGGCACGTGTTGAATAACAAACTTTTTACTTTATTGAATGCTGAATTTCGCCTACGGAAAGATAATCATATAAAGGAAATTTGGTAAATACAGGTAGGTAGGACAATACATATTCTCCTGTTTCATCCCATTTAGTTGTAAACGAAACTTAGTATATTGCTTATTTTACACTGTGATGAGAATTTGTAGTTCCCAAAATTCCAGTGAGAGATATTACTATCAAACTCATACGTTTGTTCTAGACTAGAAATGACCAATGCTCAGTCTTTATTTGAAGAAGTATAGCAACAAACCCGAAAAATGCAACTCTCGAGAATCTGGTCAACACTGGGGTAAAGATTGGATGAGAAAATCTGTGAAGAGGTTTCTTTATAGTAATCGAGAACCAATCGAAAAGATAATGTAAGAGGATACTGAACTCAGTGGCAAACACTGTTGTTGCCATGACCATAGAAGATTATTTTCTCATATATATTCCGGCCAATCTTTCTCCCGTTCTCTGCTCCTCTCACCAACTGACTTCCTGTTTATACTTTCACATCCAAGCTCAATCTAGACACCTCTCTCTCCTCATAAGTACTGCACACACTTCGCACACAGGTTTTATTTATTGATTTATCATAGACTGATGGTATCTTTCCAGCCGCATATGTTACGCTTGCGCTCATTTACAAGAAAATGAGGTTATTCACTCGTTTATTCAGTGTATACACAAGTATATGCATTGAATACTGAGGGAAATACATGGAAAAATTCTTTACGTTCACTTTTGTTCGTATATATCAACTATACGTGAACATGTTAGCAGGTGTGCTACCAAACTGTGTCATGACAAAGCTGGAACTGGTGCAGTCAATTTACGTTCAGTATTTGAGAATTCCAACCACGTGTTGCATTTGTTGTTCCTGTTGTTATTAGATAATGGAATGTTAGTAAATAAAAATAAACACGAACTAACGTGTACGTTAAATAAGGGCTGATTTGTTGGTTATCCTATGCACTACTTTCAGTGGCGACGATTGGAGGGTTTTCTATGATTATCAGAAATGCATTTTATATGATAAGCCGCGTTCACCATGCAAACGCACCGTCCAGTTGCAATATGTCAGTCATTTTCATCATCCTCCACGTACTGAAGACTATCGATCGTTAACCATGTGCTGGATCACCTGTCATACTGACCCGAAACGCCGATAATTAATCTTTAGGTTACTCCACCATTACGCAGAAAACCAGACAACAGAATTACCCTAATCATCAAATAATCATGTCAACCCGCCTGGAAAATAGACCGCTTTTGTAACCACTCAATGACACAGATGCCTGCGTTCTTCTCAACAAGACCTTACTCACTGTTATTCTCCCCTGGCAGTCATTCAACTGACATTATTGTCTGCTTTTCGTACTGCTGTGTCTATCTCGTGTCTCAAATCTACCACATTGTTGCTGAATACAGTCAGTCCATGTTGTTTGGTTGGGATGCGCGATTAACCACTGATGTGTTTTCCTTGTTCTACGGGCAAGTCATTCCCCTGTCAGCACTTCAGCTTCATTCTGCGGTGGCGTATTTCATGAGCAGTGGCGGTAACAATTTTTGTTTATCTATAACGTTTACATTTGTGGTAGCCAAATCATTGGACTTCCAAAAGAGGAGTGATACGCTGAATGAGAATGTAAAGAGAGATAGGGTAATAGTGATCAACCAAGGCACACTCCTTGCAGAATCACAGACCATTTTTAAATATGAATACCTTCTTACACCTCCCAGAAAGTGCAAACACGATTAAAAGTTGGGAACAGGGTTGACGATATAACCAAATATGAAAACAAAAGTGTCCTCATCCATTGACCGAATCAACGAATTGAAACACGGAAGCCAAGCAGTTGCTTGTCTGTTACTTGTCACCATATTTGATACCTGCATGAATGAGCTACATAGCCAGTGAAAAGAGCGGAAGGGAAGTGAAAATTGAGGAATCTAGTCCAAAAGAACGACCACATTAGTCGCCTTTTATTCTCTCGCTTTGCGGACGTTTCTTTCAATTTTGTGCGTGCATTGAAAATGTCTTTGTTTTGCAGTTTGGATTGAATGCGTCTGAGGCCTGATCCAAACGTGTCACGAAGAGCGAATAATAGAACCTACTCACCCACACCCCTTGGTGTGACTCCACCTTGTGACCATCAAGTCCGAGATGTAGCTCGCTTCCATTCGACACTGCCCACAAGCCGTCTAAATAAAATTGCGTGCCTAACGTGCCCGGTTAAACGAACCATCCGTTGGGGAGTACGCATAGTCACTGACAGAGCTGCGGCATGAGAAATGGAACAGGTGTGCGCCGAGTAGGCCAGGATGCAGCACGATCTTACCGGGCATTTGAAACCCACGAAGTTGGAATAAGAGACTGGTTGCATAGAAAGGGGGCTGGGTGTTCAAGTACAGCGGAAAACTTCTTCACGTACTCGGTAAGAGACAATTCACCAATGTCCGTTAGTTTTGGATTTTTGCAAGACTCGTCCTGTTTCCTCTATGACTTACTCAATCGTGTCTCAGTAAAAATGTATAAAAGGATGGATCACGTACCATGTGATAGATGCAGACAGGGCCCAAACAACAGATGCCATGCCTCATTGGGCTACAAACAAGGGTAATTTCAACTGGAAATACAGATCGATAGATCGATAGGTAGATAGATAGATACACAGATAGATGGGGAGTTTGGTAAGTAATTTTATAGATGGATAGATAGAAAGGTAATAAAACAACTTTTTGAAACCAATTTTATGTTATGCTCCTCACTTTTTCAATTCAATAGTTAACACGGTCATTTTGTTCTATTTAGCATGACTTTTCATAGTGAAACTTTCAAGTGACATCAAATAAACAAGCGTACAATCAATCTATCGAAATGGTTGTGAGAGAAATAAATGACTTTTCAAACTTTTCTGACATCTAGCAGAAGAACAAAAAAGAAACAGTGATGCATCGTTGTGTGAGTTCATGACCAAATTTGAAAACAGGTTGATCGCCATCAGAGTAAAAATGTGGGTTGAACAAAACGCTCGAAAAGCTTGTCTATTGGTGCGAGGAACTTACCTTCTCCTTGAAGTGTATCCAAACTGAAGTCACCAAACATTTGAAAATACGACGTTGTGTACATGGCGAATATAATATCAGAGAATCCCATATGTTTGGTATCAGTGCCTTGGAAAGAAAGATAGAAATTGGTGTCAGACAATCGTAGAGTGAACGGCTTAAATGGCATATTTGTTGAGAACAAGAAATGCATCCTGTGGTCGTTTGACCGGGTAGTACCCTTCACTTTGATTGAATCAGCTATCCTGCTGAAAGTGATTTGGTGAAAAATGTAGGTGTTGCAATCTGAGGATATTCCAAATCTCTTAGAGGGTGCTGCTTGTTTCTAGACTCCTAGTAAAACATATCGCCAAATTTTGTGCCACCTGAATTCGTGCTAGTGTTTGATCATAGTACATACCACAATGTAGCCACATTGTCTTCTACAATTTGTGAAATCTCTGGAACTGTTTGTCGGTCCGCTGCTATTACAAACAATTTCGATCTTGAAACCGCAACCAAAGCATTGATCTTTTCACACTGGAATCACCCATCAGTGATATCGGTGTGGCCTCGTAACTCAGCTAGTAGAACATGTGCTGTACAAAGCGTAGACGGCCTGAGTTCTAATCTCACTGAAGCTAGTGAACGTTTCACAATTCAGATTTCCTTCAATGTAACACAACTATATGAAGAGAAAATTTAAAAAATCTATTCCTAAATGTAACGAATGACGGAATATTGGATGTTTGAGAGTGCAACATGAGAACGAATGCTCGAAGTTACGATAATGAAATGTGTCCGCATTACCGATCCCCGTGAGAACACTATGTGGAAAGTTATCCGATGGTCCTGGTTGCTAAATTTGGTATTAAATGTAATAACGATGCGTGTGTTAGAATTTCATAAACGCCTGGTAGCTGAAGTGATATCCGACTACTTAGAGCATCTCCCTATGTTTCACATCTTGTTTGGTCTAACATTTCCAGCTCCTTGGCCCGTTAGCTCTGTCGGTATCCGTTATAACCAGATTGTCGTAACCATGCGGCTTGTAACAAAATGATGGCCGTTTTTGTTAAAGGTAAAATTTACAAAGTTCAATGAAGAATACCCAAATATTCCCAAGGACTGCTAATGCTGCCCTTAAAATATACCCAACTTTCCAGATGATCCTTGCTGGTCACAGTGCTCTCATACCACAGTTGTTCAACACTCGTCCTGTTGGCCAATCTCGATTAGGAACGTACTTTTCCCCTTTTAAGGGTGGTGAGATTAAAAAAATAATTCTCCACAGAATGCAAACTGCCGTTCACTTTCAATTTTTATTTGTTGCAGAAGGTTCATTAACACAAGAGTCACAGGTACATACACCGAATACGACTGAAGTTCAACTACGTAACGTCCATGAAAATCGGATAGTTTGATGACTTATCATCATACTTTGGAAATTTTGAGGACAGTTAAGTGGATTTGTTTGTGAACCGTCCCGCTGTTTCGGGGTTCATATGTTATCTGTCCAGCCCTGGCACGTGAGCATCTGAGGCCGGTTGACGTAGCTGAAATCTTCACATGCATTTGAACAAAGAGAAGACCCTGAAAGTAAGAGACTATGCCATGACCGCAGGAGACAACCATGCAATCAGCAATGGGGTGATATAATTGAGTGTTATATGCAAAAAAATGAAACAGAATCTGAGCTCTCTCGAAATGGTAATTGACGAGTCAGTAAGCCAACCAGAAACCGCTCACCCAAAGTCATGTTCTCTTTTGTATACAATCCATTTGGATACGCGATAGACTGAGCTGCAACCGCATAACCGACCATGATCACCGTCAAAATGATCATGAAAGGGATCAAGTCGTTTGTGACCTGAGGAAAAAAGGTGACAAAAGCGGCGCTGTGAAATATTCGTTCGATTGAAAAACTGTGGTGTGTCGTTTTCAGTTACACTTAAGTAAAGGTGTCTAGAGAGTGACGCTTATTTGGAACTGAATAACCATTGACAAATGATCTGTTGATCTATACTTTACTTGTCAATAACCATAACAAGAGATTACTTCAAAAGCATTACTGTTCCTCGAGCCTACAAACCATCACATACATCCTGTAAAATGTTACGTTTATTCATTTTGTCGTTCAGTGACATAATGAAGCGACAGATAGAAACGAAATCGAGAGTAGCCTCAATTTATTTTTAATATTCCAGAATGCGTTTTAAAACATGAAACAGGTGAAAGGAAGAAAATTCATACCGTCTAAATAATGACAACGGTAATTATGATCTCGTCTACATCAAATAATTATGGATCCTGAAGGAAAAGACGTATTCCCTCTCCGTCGTACAACAAAGCACTCACCATTTTCCCGATCATGATAAGTTTTGGCCCGAGAGCAATGTGAAAGCTAAAGGTGTACATCAGACGCGTGTAGAACACGAACAGACTGATTGCCAAGCAAGTCCGAGACACATCGAGAAACGGATCCGTTAGAATATAGTAACGTTCGTGCACTGAGTCCAACGGCTGGTCATTCCCGGTCCGAACGAGAACAATCAGGCGGAGTATGAAACCTACTATGAACAAACCCAGTCCGGCGCAATCCAGTTTGTTCCACCCATCTGAGATGTAGGTGGAAAAACTGATTCCCGATAGCACAGCCTGTAGTGAAAGTGAACGGCGCACCGTTGAGGTATATGCAAAATTAAGAAATGTGGCATTGTCATATGTCTATAGTAATGAAAAAGTTCCACCTGGCGCATCGAAAGTGTTCTAACACTGTCAGTGCCACAGGGGACTCGGTAAAAATCAAACAGTTTTGTTACAAGATCGCTTTAATTATTGTTACATCGTTAGACATCTAGCAAAAGGTTTGGAAAAGTAATCTAAAAATAAATATTTTTATTGCCCTAATACAAACAGTATGGGCCACTCGCCTACTCGTGATAATTTTTGACTCTGGAACAGAAAAAATATCCTATTGTGATAAATTTTGGCTACGTACGACCACGAGACCGCTTTTTGCTCTTTGTCTGAATTTGATTGGCGGCTTTTCGACACGTGTGTGTCATCACCGCATCAAAGTTATTCCATTTGAGTTTAAAGAAAACAATGTTCATGCGGTTTCCATCAACACTCTTAGCACTTTCATTCCGGTACAGTCCGCCCATCTTAGAAAGCTCCTTGTGATTGAGTTTAAGCGACACCGTTGTGAAGTGAACATGGGTATAGAACCTGAGAACAAGCAATTTTATTATTCACAAAAATTACCCTCTTGTTTTCCACACAATAAAATCTTCGCGATGAGAACTGCAACTGTTCAGATCAGAGAGCTTTGCTAACAGGTTAACTGACGCAAAAATACTGTCGCAATTCTCGCATTAACTTTTTATTCGGCTTTGTCTCAGATTCGGGGACAAAGCGCTTTTCCGTGCACTAGCTTGCACGGTCGTTAGCCTAAACAACAACTGAAGCAGACCAACTCCATCGCGTTTACCGTCCAGATGGGCAAAACTCTGCTCTACTTATTAATAACCAGACTGGATCTGAGTGATGAAACTATCACTGGTTGTTCCAATGCATTATTGTGCGTGTGTCCGTGGAAACACATTGAAATCAGAATGTCTGTGATCTTTTCCGTGTGCAGCTGAATGCCGGTATGATTTTGTTTGCATTTTGTTTACTATTTGTACGGAACACTTTTAAGATCCTCATCCAGCTTATTTCGTCCTAACCACACTTTATCACGTGCATCGTCGGTTTTGACCAAGAACATGGTCTCTATCCCTCTTCTACATAGCGTACAATCAACCATGCATTCTGTTGTCTGGTCTCTCTCCTGGCCCCTAAGGAGGATAACTGCGCATGTCGTATGTAACATTGAACAAAAACATTAACTTTTATCATTTAAGTATCTTGGGTAAACTTCAAATAATTTATGTACCTGGTCGTTGGTAATTGTACAAGCTTGACTTCATTTACACGTTGGTGGATTGTTAACTAAAATAACACCCGCGGAACGAATACACGTAAATACGAACACAGATGTGCTCCTATTAAATTTATCTCAGATCTAATAACGGTATTGATTCGCGATTCTGGCAAAATAAGCAAACTTCTTCCGGCTTGACAGGGATAATAGAAGACAACGAAGTCCAAAGAAACGTTGATCTCTCTCTGTTTGCAAACAAAAACAACTGATAGGTGTACAGAACCTTTCTGCTCTTTGTGATGAAGTAAGTGATGCGAGGAAATGGAATGTCTTTGCGGTTGACATGTTAAAACAGGAACTAGATGTATGCGGATCTTTGTTTTTAAAAAATATGCAGTGGACGGAAGATGAGGGTGTGTGTGTGGGGAGGGAGGGATCATTGGATGTAAATGTGTTATATTTTCACCATCATGTCTGTTTTGATTCTTCAGTGAAAAGAGTAGTTCACAAGCGCTGCATTTTCCGTCCTTTTTTGTCATGTAGGAGGAGACGGTTGAGTTGATACATGGATGCCGTCGACAGCTGGAAATCTGTGCCAACCTTGATTTGACTTGCATGATCCTGACATTTTTGAATACTTCAAATGAAACCCAATTTCTTTAACCTACTGCTTATTTTTGACGATTAGAACAAAAGTCATTATTTACTTTTTTGGCAGTGTTGTACATGTTGTACAGCACAAAGATTTGGTATAACGGGATTTCCTTATCACATACTGGGGCACTCTACAGCGGGTCCACGTTCTGGCTTGCGACCATCAGCTACGCGTAACTATCGATTTGATGACAAGTTAAATCAGAACTAATAAACTCGCGCTTGTTTTACGAGTTACCATAAAATAACAAGGGTGGATTCAGCGGATGTGGTTTCAGTTTACCCCTAGAACGTCACTCAAACAGAAATCGATCCGGTATAAAACCTAATTTGCTGAAGCAAAAATCTCACTTACATACTGCCATCCAGTCAACCGAGCTAGATTCACCACAACAAATATAACTTGTGAAATCTTGTATCCGGACTAGAGAAATCACAAGCTACTTCAATAAAAATACCAATAAAAGTTTGTGAGAGTAAACGTGCAGTGATGAATACTGTTCGCTGATTCAGGCATGCCAGTGAACATGTATAGTTGGATATCTCCATGGGAAAACCGGAAATATGTAATCTGTTAATCATATTCCACCGTAAGTAGGCTGTGAATTATCACTGCACATTATTAGTATCATCTTGCTTACCACACCAACTCATTTTGCCACTTCATTTTGAAAATACAAATAGTCGAACAAAATTGTTGTGCATGCATTATTTTTTCATACCAAGCGGTTTGTTGAGGTGTACCAGAAAAATCTACGCAGTGATAGAAGTCAGTTAGCTAAACTATCTTTTTAGGCCGCTATATTGGCCTGCAGCAGCGTTTATAAAGAGACCAATCCATAAAACGTTGTTCTGAAACACCATTATTTAATTTTGATACTGCATAATAGACGACTGTCGCTAGTTTGAATTCAGACAACTCGTTAGTTACCTTTAAGCTACCCGCTGTTCCTGTGACTAATAGTCACATATTCCTGTACATGGTACGGCTAGTACACACTTGCTTCGTATAGTACTGGCCCAGTTATTACGATAGGCCTTAGGATCATCAGCATTGAAAATTAAAGTCGACTGTCATACAGGTAATTTAAAGGGAGCTATAGTAACGGTTGCCGTCATTGTTTACAGCACATGGTAGTGAAACTTCATTGTCTACTATGAGCGCATACGTCATTTATGCAAAACCTGGGGTAACGGTCTTCTGATAGCATATACCGTACAAATGTGCATTGAGAACAATCTTTATCATCCCTGTGTTTGTTGGTATCTATTAATCATGAAGGGTTTTGGAGCTAATTATCACTGCCACATTGTTACCAATAGGGCTTAACTGTATAACGCCCTTGAGGAGACACTTCATTCGCCTTAGGGATAATTAAAAAACTACTTGTTCTGAGCAATACATAATTGTGGCAAGCAATCTAGTTTAACCATAAGGTCCAACCCAAGGATTTGAATGCCCATTTATCGTCTCGAACGGAGGTGACAATAGCTGAATTAAACAGTCAGCAACCATTTTCGTCAAAGGGAGTAGCTCATGAGGATTATTATTCTCGGATATCATTGAGTCCAGAATGACCCTATTACATATAAGGGCTGAAACATTGCACTGCACAAAACAATATCAAGGATTTTTAGTCTCAGATTTTAAACACTTCCTTCTCAACTTCCCAACCTTTCTCCGTTTTATTGATACGCTTCTGATGATACTATCCGTCGGATTACACATCCCTGTCTATTAGTGCAGCAAATGTAAAGTGTGCTTAAAATTGTTCATTGTACCCAAATCACTGAAATCAGTTCATCTGGTTCACTTTTTTCTTCCAAAGATAGCTTCTGCAGTTTATATTCTTATTGATCAAAGAATTAAACCGGACTGGAGATTTTACCAAGGATTCGTAATAATAGCGCAGGGAATCTGTTTTGCACCATGCAGACTGAAAAGAATTTACCCGCTGAAAACAACTTTCGTTGACTGAAAGAAAAGTTAGCGAACAACACTCCTCTGAAGGTGTGTGACTGTAGACCAATTGGAAGTGCGGTAACTCCCGTGACTTTATATCTATTACCCCATATCTGTATATATGTTCACAAATTTTATTGATGGAAATTACTTAGCTTTTAATGGTACTCGCTGGTGCTCACTGAACTCAAATAAACTGGTAACCTCATTGTATGGAACATCCATTTTTCTTGCAGCTTGCCCTGCATTTCTATTGTTGAAACTGAAAACCATTGTGGGTTCAACTCTTCGATGTGCTCATCTTCCTGCTTTCTCTTTAACCTATTCATTTTTCCTTTCCTAGATAAAACTCTCCGCTGTTGTGTACAATCAGGCATTTTTCTCTAATTTCCTTTATTCCACTGGGTCATTTGGGATTTTGAATTTTAATTGTGCTGTTCAACATCCTCTGCAATGAATTATTGCCATTTGGCCGAAATATCTTTCCTATTATTATGCTCAGTCAATGTATTCTCTACGTTACCATAAACTCAGTAGTTGTACAATTGGTCAGTGCCAGTCATGGACTATCCTTACAACACCAAATGGTGATCAAGTGGTTAGGTCATCAAATTGTGACCTGGGATTCAAGGGTTCTAAGCCAGTCTCCCGCCTCCCGTCTTCCCCGCTTCTCATGCATCCTTTGTATGGCCGCGGATCCCTTCCTGAAAGCTGACTGTACACTTGTATCTTCATTAATTAAAACGGAGGTGAAAAGAAAGAAAGAAAAGAAAGAAATAATCTCTGAGGTAGCTACTCGTGGTATGCTCTCCACCTGTGGATATTCAGACGGGGAACGTATCTTCTTCAGGATGGGTTATTCTAGGTCTTTTCAAGAGCTGGATTTACTCCCAGAGATTCCTACAATTCATTGTGCGGTTAAGCCGGGAAACTATTTGACCAACAAAAATACGTTTTTCCTCATAAATCTGACGGACCAGATGGACTATAACCGCTTATGTTAAAATATTATACCAGAAGCTCTTAATTCCTACCTTTCAATACCTTCATCGAGTGCCTTTTTCAACCGACTGTTGGTCAGGAGTATATATATATATATAT